CTCCTGCTTTATTTATTTATTTATTTATTTATTTATTTATTTATTTATTTATTTATTTATTTATTTATTTATTTATTTATTTATTTAATCCCACTATTATTATTTTATATAAATAATTCAAGGGGCAGATGTACCTAATACTCCTTCCTCCTCCTATTTTCTCCACAACATCCCTGTGAGATGAGTCAGGATGAGAGAGAGAGTGACTGGCCCAAAGTCACTAGTTGGCTTGCATGTCTCAGGCAGCATTAGAACTCACACCGTCCCAATTTCTAGCCTGGTGCCTTAACCACTAGACCATACTGGCTGTTTGTTCATGGCAATCACAGTCAGATGTATGCAAGGAAGTGCAGAACAGATTCTCAGACCACTTGTGAACACCAGGCAGAGCGTTCTGGCCTAAAAGAAATATAAAATGAATGGTCAGAATTTAGACATCAGATCTTTGGGTTGTTACAGAGGTGGGTTTCTGCTGGTTCGCCCTGGATCAGACGAGCCAGTAGTGGCAGTGGTGGGAGGCTTCGCTCACCCGCCAGACGCTTCTGTACATGTGCAGAAGCATCGCGCGAGTGCGCAAACGCACACAAGCGAACTGGTAGTAAAATAAATTGAAACCCACGACTGGGTTGTTAGTATGTTTGTTGTACTAGGTAGGCTGGTTGAGTGAGATAAAAATATTTGATCCTCTGCAATTTCTTCATTTTCCTTGCAGTCAGTAAAGAAAATGCATTGGACAGTTTATTATTGTCGCACATTTGCAGACATAAATACATTTCCCAAGTCATTTGTCCTGAAGAAGAAAGGCTCCCTTTCTCTCTTGATAAGTACTGATCTAATTTCTTTGCTCAGTAGAGCATCTCTTGCCAGTAGTATGACAAATGAATCCATCTCAGTGCAACACTTACATATTAGAACTCAATGTTCTTTCAGGTCTTAATCTTAATCAAAACAATGATACATTTCAGTCTTCTCCAACCTGATGCTCCCCAAACTCCCAGCTAGCCCAATGTCTGGAAAGGCTGTTGAACACTAGTAGAGTATATTAGTAATATAAATAATGTTGTTAGTAATGTTTTCTAGGGAGTGAAGAAAGCCCTGCATTACAGCCACAAGACACAACTTTATCCCCACACTGACTTCCTCACATGAAAAGCAAAGATCACATGAATCTATTCAAAATATATTTTCACAAATGTGTCATGCGATCTTGGCTAGGTTACTAACAAATAATATTAAATTCTAGGTAAAGCCAAATGAATAAGACAGCCCAGGATGCTGCACTAAAAACTGCAAAGACACTTAAAAATATTCAGCTCTCCACACTTTCCAGCAGAGAACTAGCTGTGTTCCTATTCTTATTCCAGTCTGGATTTTCTTCTTATTGTGCCTCTCCTGGGACAAAAATAAGACACCTTAAAATGTCTTCAGCATTCCAGGTTTTCAAAAAATGGAACCAAAAAAAATGGAGGGAGGCACTGGAGAGCTAAAGAATCTGCTCTTACGGTAAAACACAGTCATTTGAGAGCCAGACGACACAATTGTTTGAGAAATTCTAGTGCATTGGCCCTTTTTTGTATTATGCTCCCTCCCCTACCATAAACGTTTCTACCTGACTATACAAAATATGTATGCTTGTCCTTTCTCCTTTAGTTTCTTTCTGATCAGATGGAGTGAGTGAGTATGAAGGCAAGGTAGAAAAGCTTTGTTCAGATTATCTGGGCAACCATTAAGGAGACAGTTATAAATGAGGATTTTCTTTTAATGGATGAAAAAAGCTCATATAGCCTTCTCTGACTAGGTGTCCTCCTGATATGTTGGATAATGTGGTGCACATGTGGGAATTATGACACACATTCCTTAACTGTGCAAGTAGCCTTGCATATTTAAGGAACACCAGACTGGGAAGATGGACATAGTGTGTAACCACTTGTACAAATATTACATAGAAAATGGAGATAAGCATTGTTTTCATCAGGTGTACGCTGCAGAAGCATATTATATGCAGACAGGTTGCCTCTACGTAGTTCTCCACAGCATATGTGTAATGATACAACAGTGTAAGCCGGCTCTATGAATTATAAGAATCATCACTCCAACAGGCCAATCTTTAATGTGTACCACTAAAAAGGTTAACCTCAAATTGTCTCATTGCCTAGGAGGATCAAACTATTTAGAGGAAGGAGTGAGCGATCGAAGAGAAGCAATCCTGTTCAAATTGTAAACACTGTGATCATAATATCTCAAGCCTATGGGAAAGAATAAGTTCTCCAACCATCACCTTCTTCTCTTTCTCTCTTCCTCCTGTATAGCTGATTAAAAGGATGTGATATATGTGTGCACATGTATGTATCATAATGTTTGGAGTTTTTTTTGTTTTTTTGGTATATTTGACAGTTGACAATAAATTTGATGTTTATATTTGATTCTCTTATGGATGAGTACATTAAATAGAAAGCTGATACACTACACAATATAGCCATTGTTAGAGTCTGGTGGAAAATATTTGTTTCACTCTGTTAACAAAGAAAGAATATATATGAAAGGTAATTGATCAAAGGAGAAGAAAATGTAGCAAGCATTTTAATTTTAGTGTAACAATATCTTTGTCTAAGAGAGCAAACATAATTCACCTATAATGTCAATTTATTCACTACTTCTTTACTATGTGCCAAAACATCTTGATCAAGATTGTACAACTTGTAGCAGATTCTTTCTGACCTGATTCCAGATTCCATTTTCTTCTGCCAGCATGGCCAAAACTACATTTGAAATAAAAATGCCTCTGAGCGTTACTTACACTATTATATAGATATTAGAGATCTGATTAAATTCATATCCTACCTTCTTTCTAGGAGTTCAAGACAGTATACAACATTTCCTCTATTTTTTTCTTTTATAAAAACATTATGGTAGTACAATTATTCTGAGTCATTGACTGAGGTCCATTCAGTGAAAGTTTGATTGATTAATGAGATTTTTAGGCAGCCCTAATCTATCACGATTTTATGCAGTTTACAAAATAAGACAGTAATAAATATAAATCTGCATAACCTGAAAAAGAAAAGAAAATTCAGGAGAAAAAATAGTTCCCAAACTGAGGGATGACCTTAATGAGTGGTCTTCTATAGTTGTTAATCAGGAGGGCAAGACGATAATCCTTGAAACATCCCACATCAGTGAGATCTTTGTTGGAACTTTCTCTTCTGTCAACGCAAATCCAACCACAGGGACATCATGCTTCAAACCACCAAGAAAACCATTTGATCTAGAAGAATACCATCGTTATACAATATCATCATATTGAAAGTCCGTGTGAGATCAAATAAATTGTACCACCCACATCCTAACTTTGCCAAAAGTCATAAACAAGCCTAACTAATAC